ATAATACTAAATGGCATGTCCCCCATGGATGGAGGAAATTTCACAAGGTCCCACGTTAGATAAAGAGCTATGGCACTTAAGGGATGGTATTTAGTCTTCTTCATGGACAAGGCCCCTGATGGGTTATCCAATCCCAAGTGGACAGCTCTAAACACACATATATATAAAACATTAAATGGACTCAATAGGATATATACATGTTCATGACCTTGATCTCTTCTTCTTGAAGTATGTATTTGTGTGTGTATCTATATGTATATAAGATAGGAGAGAGATAGATAGATAGATAGATAGATAGATAGATAGATAGATAGATCTGCTCTTTCTCAAATTGATCTTGATCTCTTCTTCAGACAGACTTGAAATGGGAGAAACAAGGGCAGGTGAAGCAAAAAGCAGGCATAGGTATTAAAATCCATTTAAGAAGCCTAGAGAGCCCAGATTCCCACCCCATCCCAATTCCATTCATAGATTACCACTCCTCCACCTACGAAGAACACTGGACTAACAGCTCCCCCTCTGTCAATTGGATAGCAGAGGCCGTTGAGACGGTGTGTTTAAGAAGCAGAGAGTTGAGTGGGTTATCAGAAAGAAAGGCAGAGAGGTAGTGACAGTGACCCCTAAGGCTGGAAATCCCAGCCTCTTCATGTGTGAGCCAAACCCTATTATTAAATTATTATTTATTTAAATAAATGGTTTGTTTAAAATATACATGATAGGAGTTGTTGATAAAATTAAATAAATAACATCACTGTTTTTATGAGGTTTATACAGTAGCACAAAAAGGTGCTACTCAGCCTAATAGAATTAAATGATACCAATAGGAAGAATTGGAATAAAATGAAAAATCGTCAAGTCAGACAGAAAAATGTTTGTTGTCATAACTGGGGAGATAAAGGCAAACTCTTGAAACTACACCGTCTAGCCTTAAGAAAGAAACTAATACGAGATGTCAAGGAAGGGAAGATTCCTGACCAGGGAATACTTTTTATTGTTTGACTGAATTGCTACGTGCAGCCATGGCTCATTAAAAATAATATATGAACATTTTAAACTGTCTCGAATGCCTCAGGAAGACAAGATGGTATCAATTCCCTGAAAGAAGAATGAGATGCTACAGCAAAAGGAAGATTCCAACACTGAAAGAGAACTTTTGGAGATGTAAAGATGAACATAAAAATACAATGTATGTGAAAAGTTCACAAACATCATTTAAAACAAAAAATGCTTACAGAGAGCTACGAAGTTGGGCCAATGAGTAAAGGCACTTGCCACCAAGCCTGACAACCTGATTTTGATCCATGGGATGAACCCACTTGGTAGAAGGAAGTCATCTTGTGGCATTCACATGTACGCACACAAACAGGAATAATGGAAATAAATGTGGCAGAAACAGTGGTTTCTAAAAATGCATGAGAAAGGCTAGAGAGATGGCTCAGTGGTTAGGAGTGCTTACTGCTCTCACAGAGGAGTCAGTTCAAGTCCTAACACTCACATGGGGCAGCTCACAACAGTGTTTACCTCCAATTCAGGGCCTCTGATACCCTCTGGCCACCAGAGGCTCTTACATGCGTATTGTGCTAATACAGATAGTCTTTTAAACTCTTTAAAACAAACAAAAAAACATTTAATGATCAAAATGTCATCTAAGCAAAGCAGAACTGAAAAGCTGTGTGGGATCATGAAAGGATAGCATGGTTTCTGTTGGGCTCCAACATGTGAAACTCAGTAGTTAGAACATCACATGCTATCCTTTCCCACAAAGGTGAGGCACATCCCTACGGTTCCAAGGAGACTGTTTTCCAGCCAAATTCCTAAAACCAGTCCAGCTGACAAACAGTTTTAAGAGCAAAATAAAAAATATTCAAAGTAGTCAAACATATTAAATCCCCATCACCTTTTTCAAACAGCTACTAGAAATTGTAATTAAGAATAAAATCAATTAGTTATTTAAGTCCCATATAAGAGCAGACACAATACGAGAGAAAGACAAAGACTTCTGCAGGAAAGCCTGGGTTCAGAAAGTAGTCAGGTGAGAGGGTGAGATAAGAGGAAGGATTCTCCCTATTGGATGCAGCCAAGAAAAAAAAAAATTGAAGAGAAGGAGAATGATGAAGAATGGAGAAACCTGCATTTAAACTAAGAAGACAGTTTTGGTTATTGAAAAGTTGCTGCATAAGCCAGTGATGAAGTGACTGTGTGGGGATGAAAACTAGGCTCCATGTATTGGAGACTAAATATTAAATAAAAATAATCACCTATAAGATACAATGTTTCACTTCACATGGCTCAACAGAGAGAAACTAAGTAGTTGGAATATCACATTGAGTCTCAGAGGTAAGTCCCAAAGCACTACATGCAAGATGATGTAGCACCCACGAGACAATTCCCGTCTATGCTTACAAGACTTTCCTATGTCCAAGTCAAAGACATTCAGGGGGAGTTACAGTCTCAGGTATTTTACATTGCATGTATTATCTTCCATAATACATAAGAGGTTTTGGCCTTTACTGGTACACAGGAAACTTTTGTCACCCTGCTGATACATCATTTGCTCAAAGAACTGAATGTGAAAATCAGTGAAGGCCTAACAGTTCCATTGCAAAGTATAACTTAGACAAAGCTTCTTGTGTCTTCCTCAAAGCAGTAAGCGCCTCATCCAGAGAACTGTGAACAGAGAGGAATACAAAACGCTAATGCTCTTTCTGGTGTCAAGAAAGAAAAGGTAACCCAAAGCAGTTGGAATGAACTAGAACTATTGTCTTTCTGCTTTATGGAGCACTAGTGTGATCTAGAGCCTTCCTTGGGGGGACGGAGTTAATTCTAAAGAGCAATAAAGAAAGCTTCCTTTGCAACTACAGAGACATTTCATCCCGAATTACTACTTTGTAGCAATAACATACAAAGAGGGTTTGGAGTCATTGCTAGCAACCTCACCTATCAACACTGTGCTAATACTCTTACAATGAGGAACAACCCATATGAACAGGCAGCGTATAACAAGATCCTGATAACTTTCTGTGTTATCATTATCTCCACATAGCCCAAAGTCAGGAATATCCTGCTATCTATTGCTTCCAACAAACACATTTCACAGGTGAAGACTGGTAGTGAAGAAAATAGACGGCTATATATCTTATGGCTACATAATTGCCAGAATGGAATTAGGTAAGAATAAAGCCTTCCTTCCAAGAAGTGGTATCAGCCGCTGCCATTCACAAACATTCTAGCAAGCTCTTTCCAAGCATGTAGTTAGCAGCTGTGGTGGTTTGAATAAGAATCGCCCCCACAGGTTCATAGATTTGAATGCTTGCTTGGTCAGCAGGGAGTAGGTGTGGCCTTGTTGGAGGAAGTGCAGGGTGGGCTTTGAGGTTTCAAAAGCCCAAGCCAGGCCCAGTGGCTGTCTCCTGCAGACCCAGGTGTAGAACTCTCAGCTCCTCTCCAGCATCACTTCTGCCTGTGTACTGCCATGAATCCTGCCATGCTGATTATGGACTATGCCTAAGAAACTGTAAGCCAGCCTCCATTAAGTGCTTTCTTTTATAAAAATTGCTGTGTCATGGCATCTCTTCACAGCAGTAGAGAAATGACTAAGACAGCAGGTATAAGAACATAAAGTTACCTTGGGTCCATCTGGTGAGTGTAGGAAGACATGTGTGTCACCCCAGGCAAGCATTGGATTGCAAAACAAAACCACTCAGTGTTGTTTTCCATCTAGTATTGTGACATCAGTGTTCAAAATGCTGTTCGCTCTCACCACCTGGACTCTGGGTGACTACTGTGTACAAAGTTTTCCAACAACCCCACAACTAATATGGGGTGTTAAAAAAAAGCTATAAAAAAATGTGCCCCATATTCACAAATGTGTTTGTTGCTAGCCTGATCTAACCAGGTCAAATAATCTAGTCTAACCTAGGTAAAAATGACAACTCATTGTTTGGCCCTCAAGCGATTCTCTCTCTCTCTCTCTCTCTCTCTCTCTCTCTCTCTCTCTCTCTCTCTCTCTCTCTCCCCCCCATACTTCCCACTTTCTGTGTTTTCTTAACCTGGTTTTAAAAAAACAGTTATTTGGCAATAGGCACTCAAATGAAATATGTCGTGGACATTTACATATGGTTAGGTATACACAGAAAACCAAGCTGGAAAGAAAAGTAAGATCAATTCTATGTATGTGTGTCCTGGGGGGGGAGCATTGTGCTGTGGTGGGGAGCATTGTGCTGGGGGGGAGCATTGTGCTAATGAGGATAAAGAAACAAGAGTAGGTGACTGATAATGGTGTGGTTCCTTTGAGGTGGGCTAGACTTCTGGTTTTCTTTATTTATTTTCCTAAGAGAAGTCATTTTTGTCTTGGCAAGACTGTTTACAGCTTGTTTCCTACTTTCAATAGATTTTTTTTCTCTACAACCAATCAATAGTGATTACAATTATGTGTCAGAATACAGCAAGGCGTATGGTGTCTTGAGACATTACAGTCTCCCTTTGCAAAAGAGACCAGGAGAGAGAGTAAAGGGATGACTCCATACTGCACAGCCCAATAGTTAAGCCAAACAGTTGCCAGTGACCAACTCAGCAGTCCCATAGGGAAGCCTGACAATCAGGATGTATCACAGTGACTGTTCGGAACCTAGTTGATGAAATGGGACACTGTTCCTCCTCAGAACAAGACAAATGCTCAGAATCTATGAAGTAAAAATATCTACATAAAATATGTCATTGATGAAAAATGTTTACATGCAGAGATCTTAACCCAAGAAGAACGTACGTTGGGCCCTGTGCAGTTCATCTAGTATGTACAAGTGCTGCAGGGGGAACCTGAACACCTGCGTGAGCATCTGATTATTTCACCAGGCCTTTTGTCTCTTCTCTCAAGTCCCTGTTAGAAATCCCTCGCTCTGACACAATCACGAGAGAACCAGTTTTTCCAATGATTGTCTTTTAGTTCCACAGAGCAAGCCAGGACTCATCTGATGTGTTTCACCATCCCCCTTCAGGAGAGGGTAATGACTGCAGCCCTTCCCTCAGAAGAGGCTTCACCCCTGCAACTTTCCCCGCTCTGTGTAACTAGCGGCGGAGTGAGATTGACATGTCTTTCTCCCAAGGTGGTCTTCTCTAAAAACCACAGCAAAATGATCATCTGCAAGTCGAGCCCACAGTAAGGAAAGCTCAGGGAAGCCTCTGAAGTGGAAGGTCTAATCCCATTGTCTTGATTGCCTTCCTAATTACAGGCTCCAATCACAGCCACAGCACTCAGGAATGGCAAGAACTCCGTGCCTCTTCACCATACCTTGTCTCCATCATTAGGCCCCTGTTTAAATCCAGTGCAGAACAGTCTCAAATACATGCTCTTGCAAGGACTGACATATCCAGTCAAGTCAGAGTTTTAATGCCTCCTTCATCTGTCTCCTTTCTCCCCAGGATACCTTTCTTTCTCACAAGGAAAAATAGTCAGTCTCTCTCTCTCTCTCTCTCTCTCTCTCTCTCTCTCTCTCTCTCTCTCTCTCTCTCTCAATAAAAGGAAAAACTCATGAGTACCAGTCACCTTCTATAAATAGACTCTGAGGAATAACAAAGCAATCCAGGTTCTAAAGCCACCAGGGATTTTGTTTTCTCTGCTCATTTTTCTAAAATTAAAATGACTGAAAAATGAGTGTACGACACAAGCAGATTCCTGACCCTTTGGCTGGAGAGTGGGCAGAGGCAGTTGTGAGAATAATACAGGGTTCATACACTAAAACAGAGTGACTGGCAAATATTCCTGGGGGAAATTCACAAAAAAAAAAAGAAGAAGTCATTCCAGAAGACCTCCGTTGAAGAAAACACACAGGTGTCCCTCAGCCAACACATTTCCATATCAGCATTTGAAGGAAGAACCCCAATATCTCCCAAAAACATGCCTCTGTCTAAGACATTGTTCTTAGAAAGAACCCAGGAAAGTTTTATTAGAAACAAAGTTTAGAACATGGGGCTTTGAAATTCAATAGCAAGTTCTATTCCATTTGCTTAACTTTGCAAATACTGAGGTCCTTTCTAGAACCCATGAAAGGCATGAGCCTATCAGCCTGCAAGGCAATAAAAATGGAAGGCAGAGACAGAGATGCTGATTGTGGACTGACTCTCTGGTGCCTGTAAGATGTAGCCAGTGGCCCCCACCTCCAAACACCCCTTAGACTCTAGGAACAAGGTGGCCCAACATCCACTGGAGATAATTCAAAATGTGCTAAGAAGAGTATTCTCATGAGAGAGTGTGTAAAGTTACCATCCTCCAACCAAACTTGGAGATTAGGAAAGCAGGAGGGAGAGGCAGCATCCACACCTGCAACATCCACACCTGCAGCATACACATCCGGAGCATCCACACCTGCAGCATTTACACCTGCAACATCCACACCTTCAACATCCATACTTGCAACATCCACACCTGCAGCATTTACACCTGCAACATCCATACCTGCAACATCCACACCTGCAACATCCACACCTGCAATATCCACACCTGTAACATCCACACCTGCAACATCCACACCTGCAGCATTTACACCTGCAACATCCACACCTGCAGCATCCACACCTGCAGCATCCACACCTGCAACATCCACACCTACAGCAGTAGCAGCTGGCCCATTGCCTCACTGAAGTGCAATACTGTGAATCCAACTCAGCTTCTATTCTTTGGTTACCTTTTAATTTTCATTTTCTCCAGGTAGTCCTGTGTTTCTAAAATGGCTTCTGAATGAGAAAACAAAATAATACTGCGAACAGGCAGAGGAGCGTAGAAACTTACCAATTTTCTAGCCTTTATAGTGGGAAAGTCTTTCTGTCTTCATTCTGATGGGCTTGTCCCCTCCTCCCCAGAAAGGACAATAAGCCATGAGAGGAGTGATATCCTCATGATGTCACACAGCAGATGGAACTCAGCACCACTGCTCTTGGAGAAAGGTCTCATCTTCTTATATCCTTCCCTTTCTGAGCGGTTTTGTACAAAAAGCCCATCTCTGAAAACCAACAACTAGTTAAGCCAGCCTGTATCAATTAGAGTAAAATTCATCCAAAGTGATATTTGTGAGAGATAGAGGTCCATCTGACTCTTTCTTTTCCAAGATCATTTTGCCCAGATACCTACCTGCTTTCATATGTAAGTATATGTACCTTGCCAGGCTTGGTGTCTCACACTTGTAAGCCCCTTACCCAGAAGCTGAGGAAAGAGGATTATGAGTTCCAGGCTAGCTGGAGCTACATGACAAAGACTTTGTCTCAAAAATGTATACAAAACACATGCAAGTAAGTATACACACCACACACACACACAGCTTATTCAGACTATGTGTAAGTATATAATTTAACCTGACTTGGAACACAGATTTCTAAATCTACTTTACCACTCTATATTCTTAAACATAATGTTTCTGAACACTGGATAATGTTCTTTGAAGTAAGTCATTCCAAGCATAATGGTTAGCTTACACATAAGGAAACTGAGGCACCCAGACAGATGGCGTCTATCACTACACTTCACAGTTAAGAGGCTACTGTTGACAATACTGAGAGACCACAGGACTCGTCGGTTACAATGCTAGATTAAGACCTTCGTGTTCTCCCAGGTTCATGCTTGATCACAGAACCACCTTGTCATTCCCGCAGAGTCACGGGGGTGAGGAAATCTTCTAAAATGTCACAGACTTTAAAGAAAGCCTATCTTTATTTGATTGGCTCTTTATCTGAGCCCTCCCTAGCTCAGATCAGCTGTCTGCATATTTCTATGTTTTGGGTATACTCAAGAGCATGAAACACAAAAATAAATCAGTCCATAATGATTATCAGTCTGAATGTCACTAGAACACAAAAGAAACTGCCACACGGAACAAGGGACATTAACATTCTTTCCTATCCACCTGGAGAGAGCAGGGCTCAAACTCTGCTTGTCTGACCTTCTATTAACATGGCAGCACAGAGAACGCAGGCATAATCTGGACCCTACTAATACTGAGGGAGCCAGCCCAAGGATCCCTCACCACTCACCCTCCCCACAAGCCCCAGGGTCTGTAAATTTCTGTTTTATTAATCTGCCCCCAAATTCTTTCAAAAACAATATAAAGACTAAATTAATGACTGGGCAAATGGAAACAAAAAGCGTTAGCTTTGACTTTAGAAAGAACTGACACTGACCGTTCTTCTGACATTTATTAGGTGGGTGACACTATGCAAGCAGCAGCCTCTCTAAGCTACTTAACCTCTCTGAGCCGAGATGCCTCGTCTGTTTAAAACTGAGCAGGACTGTCTCCTCTTGAGATGATTAAAAGAGAATGCACAGAAAGCACCTGGTACAGGGTAGACATCTAGGAATTTTAGCGGTGACGGTGTCTAAGCAGCCCAAGTCACCAGTAAAACCATTCTGCAGCAGTGTTGTTGCAGAGAGCTAGCCTGGCTAGATTCATCACAGGCAGATGAAGCATTTTATTGGGTACTTTGGAGATAGTTTGCAGGTTTCAAATTATTTTGTCTAGCATTTATTTCATCAGAATTCAAAGATGGACAAAAGGTCAGATATAACACTAGTTCTCTACTTCTTTCTAGCACAGAAATCAAGGCGCCTTTTGCTGCCCCTGGAAGAAGAGACAAAAGTTCAAGCTTTCCTTAATATGATTCACAGTGCCTTCTACATGATTTAATGTAGTAGTCAGGCTTTATATCCAGTTACTCTAAAGTACTTTTTCTTGAGACATTGAAGAGTACTTTGTTAGAATGTGTGTTCCAAGATCCAGCCTGTTGACACCATGTGATATTGTACATGCTGCCTAAAACTGCTGAACTATAAATTCTCATGTCAGATGAGCAGTCTGAACCAGGTTCCCAGATAAGTGGCTCCTTTCACCACATCATGAACCTTGTGCGTTAGAGACAGTGGCAGTAGGGGACAGGGAGAAACCCTGGATGTAGGAGAGATGGATTTTAAAAATATTATTGTCTTTAACGTGGATATAAGTGATCCAAGACAGGCATCCAAGTTCTAAAATCCTGTGTTCTTAGCACATGCGCATTCTCTCAGAGGCTTCTTTTCATCTTTTCTTTATCTCTATATTAACATAAAAGTTTCCCTATACTAAGCATTCAGTAATTGTCAGTGAGGAGGCAAGCAAACGAACACATAAACATGTTTAAAGTTCAAATGCCATAGCTGAATAGTCAAAGAATCATCTTGGATTTGGTGCCTTGTACACTTTAATTCCAACTCTTGGGTGCACAGCAACCATGATAGGCAACTAGAAACATCTCCAGGGTGATCTCCTGCGAGATCAGGACTCTGAAAACAGCAGCAATGGTGATTGATCACCAGATGGAAAAAATGCTACGATTTACTCTAGAAAGGAAAGTAAATGTCATTTTCTAGGCTTCCATTTAAAATAAAAAGGTAGTGGAATAATCAGCCAAATGCCAAGGAAATGAATTCAATATGCATAGAAGATAGAATTCCAGTCAAATGGCAGACTTTAGAAGTCTGTATCGTCACATGGGAGGGAATCAACAGCAAGGCTCCAAGAACTTCTGTTTTAGTTTTACACTTACTTTGGATGTAGCCGCAAACTTTGCAAACCATATGAGGAATACTTTCTGCTGGATATTTCTAATTTGATCTAATTGTTCTAGACAGTTCCTTATACCACGTTACGCACTATGCACATTAAAGATGGGCTGTGGGTAGGGGAAACTACTCCAATGGGAATAGAAAACAAAAAACGAGGGGAAGTTTCTTTAAAACTGAAATGAGCTATCCCATGCCAAACTTTGCTGCTCTATGCATGAAAAGGGCGTGCGAGACTAGTAGGAAACACACTGCAGTTTGGTGTTGAAAGGGTGAGCTCTGGGTACCTTTAAAACAATTTGACTAATCTCTACACCTTTGGTGCTTTTTACCATTTAAATCTTGCTAACTTGGAGGCTAAGTACATAAGTGGTGTTTCAATGAAGCTTCATTTAGGCCAGTTCATTGTAAGGTTGTGCTAAGCTCCCTGAGTATGGTTCTACTACCAGACTTTTACATGTTTCTCACAACAGAGAATACTGGCAGGTCCCTCAGAGCCTCCCTTCTTCTTGAGGAGTATTTTGTCTTGCTAGACCAAAGCCACTGCTTACTCTTTCTGAGTATCTTTAGGAAGACTCACAGGATAACCTATATGTCCACTGAGCTCCAGCAATCAGAAATCCCAGGTTACACTAACTTCTAATTGCTAGAGAAACATCAGAGATCAGTGGCGCACATATAATTGCTTGGAATTCTGAAATGTAACTGCTAGTCTGTCAAATATTCTGTTCCGGATCATCCAGCATACACTGGCAAATGCTTTAGCCACCTCTTGATGCTGACCCCCATAATGTCCCCCATCAAAATGGCTGGGATATTAAGGCAGAAACATTCGAAAGAAGAGATCACCAGATTCAACCACTTAAAACCAATCACAATCATCCATGATAATAATCAAGTGTTGGAGAGAATTTCAAGTTTTTGGAAAACATGTAGCCACCACTATATCCATCATAAAGAGATGGTAGAGATGATAGATAGATAGATAGATAGATAGATAGATAGATAGATAGATAGATAGACAGAAAATATGAATCAGAGAATCTGACTTATAATGAAATGGGCCGTAATGACCAGCACATGTTACAAAATTGACAAAAGATCCAAAAATGAAAAACAACACAATGAACTTTAGTGCAGCAGAATACAAAAGGCTCATTAGCATGATGCCAGTTCCACATTACAAAACAACTACAGCTTGTCATATTTTCATATGGATTGCAAAATATCCCACAACTATACAAAAAGACTTTTAAAATACCCTCTTTTCCAAGTGCCTGACTGTGTGAGAATGAATGTTCTACTACTTCTCTCCTCAAAATCACACAGCCTTAGACCATGTGCATGGAGAACCCCAGCTGCATTCTATTAGGCCAAACATTAAAGGGATGTGGGAGAATGTAAAACAATGCACCCATCTCCTTGGGAGCAATGCTTTCATTAAAAACGTGTCCCATATTTTAACATGTAAATGGGCTTACTCTTATTTTTAGTGAAGTAATAATGTCAAAATCATCATTAGATTAATTTCATATATGATTAAATATCAATAGATATAACCCACATAAGTATATAACCCTGGGAAAAATAATTTTTTTAAGAGTGTAAGGGGATCCTAAGAACTGCTGTCTTAGATCTCTCCTCTCTCTCTCTCTCTCTCTCTCTCTCTCTCTCTCTCTTTCTCTGTGTGTGTGTGTGTGGTCTGTCTGTCTATCTGTCTCCCTCTTTCTCTAATAAACTATTTGACAGTTTCTAACACTCTAACAAGAGTAAAGATTTATAACTAAATTCTCACACTTATTAGTGAAATACAATTTTAAGAGGTTTTGAACATTTTATTAAATCATTTAATAGTTACAGATTTGTCATGACTAATGTTCCCATAAAAAATAATACTGAAGGTGTCTCCTCATAATCACACGTATAGATGGCACCTATAGGGCCTCACTGCTGATTGATTTGCAGTTCTCTAGTGACACGCTACGTGGAGCATCTTCATACATGTGCATCTGTCATCCGTGTGTCTTCTTCAGTGAGGTGTCTGTTCACATCTCGCGCCCAAAGATAAAACTTGCTTGCCTTGAAAGTTGTGATCAGTATGTCTTCTGTTCATCTGGGCTCCACAAA